GCAGTGAGCCAAGATCGCACCACTACACTCCAGCCTGGGCAACAGAGTGAGACTCCATTTCAAAAAAAAAAAGAAAAAAAGTTAATGAAATATGATTTGAAAAAGCCAGAGTAAATTTCTCTTTTCTTTGACTTTGACCTTAAACACCACATTTGAAGATAAAATGTGGTATGAGGTCCTCAAGGGCCTATGCAAATTTGTCTCCCTTTATGTACAGATTAAAACGTACTAAGTTTGTCCTAAATTCTAAGATTTGAAAAATCAAGCAAGTATCGGCTCCAGTGATCTCAACAGATGAACAGATGACAATGAATACTGCAGATTTTTAACTAGTTTTCCTAATAATTACCTGGTTCATTTCTATTAGTTTTATGACAACCCTCTGTTGATTTTGATTTCAGTATCTATAAAATAACATTGAAAAGAGAGCTATCTCAAAATTTTTAGGACTTAAAGAATTTCTTAAGTGCAAGATAAGCACATATCTATCATTAATAGATAATCCTTCTTTGATTTACTCAATTATTTATTTAGTGTCATCCTTGTTCCAGAGAGGATATAAGGTGGCTTACTTGAGGTACACCCGATATATAATCCTACAGGTTCCTAGAGGTGTTGCCACACTACATGCATAAGTCAACACACAAAATAGCACAAGCACCTATAAAACCTACAAACAGGAAAGTAGCATGTTAAGTCCATGTTATTCCAGGTAAGAAAGTTCTGCTTAATGTTACTAGAAGGGCCCCAAAAGTTTATATCATAAAATTTGCAAAAACTGCCCTAGGATTTAACATGTCTTCGTCATATTACCAGCCTAGAATTCCCCACAAAACTACAGCCTTCCTGAACTCCAAAAGAAGACATTAGTTTGGAACTGACTTAGAAGCAAAAATCTGAATTCTAGATTGCTATGTTTTCCTTGGATTTTACCCATTCTAGCATTAGGCAAGTGATTGAGATTGGGAAATCTTAAAGATCATAGTCCAAAGAATGTAGACACACAAAATAATAAAGCAAGTCAAAGCTAATTTCCAAAGATTACAACCCAATCAATCACACATTTCCAAAAAGTAGCAGTGGAGTTTTTAATTATTAAAGGTAAAAAGAGATTCACGTCTAAATCCCAAAATTAATGGTTTACCCTCATTTGGTCCACAAGAGTTGTTTGCTATAGCCGAGAGAGGACATTTTTAGTTCTATTGCTCAGGAGGGATTAACTTGTTAAAAGGAAAAAAAAAAAAAAAAAAAGTGAATATAAATATATAACTTCTGACTCTATCATAAATAAGGCAAATGTATATCCCTAGAAAAATGAAGTGCTTAGCGCGTCTCAGCCAAAATTGCAATGCCATGTCCCTAGGTGCTATGTATCCGAGTTATAGAGAACCTTCACTCTGGCCGGGCGCGGTGGCTCAAGCCTGTAATCCCAGCACTTTGGGAGGCCGAGACGGGCGGATCACGAGGTCAGGAGATCGAGACCAACCTGGCTAACATGGTGAAACCCCGTCTCTACTAAGAAATACAAAAAACTAGCCGGGCGAGGTGGCGGGCGCCTGTAGTCCCAGCTACTCGGGAGGCTGAGGCCGGAGAATGGCGTGAACCCGGGAGGCGGAGCTTGCAGTGAGCTGAGATCCGGCCACTGCACTCCGGCCTGGGCTACAGAGCGAGACTCCGTCTCAAAAAAAAAAAAAAAAAAAGAGAACCTTCACTCTGAAAAGATTATGGCGCCCATCCCTGCCATATAACAAAGAATGCAAACAAAATATTAAGTCACAAATAGTTTAAAGAAATACCATAAAGGCTACTTAAAAGCTCTATAAAATAACAAATGACAAAAGAAATTTAAATATTTTACAAAATATTATCAAATATTCCTTCTTCCAAAAATGTGTTGCCTTTGTTGCTTGTGCTTAAATACTAATTCCAATACAGAAACTCAAGGTAAGAACTAAAGGCCTATCTGTAGATGTCCATACTATAGTTTGAAGAGCTTTAGGGTCACCCTTCAGAAGTTCTAAGTCAGCAAGGAAGTAGTCTCAAAGTCAGACATTCAAGTCTGATGCTGGAGAAAAACCAAGCCAGAGAAGGTGTTAAGTTTGTGGGTGGGCATATGTGGGCACTTACAGGATGATTGGATGGGATTCCACCTTCATGTCAACAGTGGGGAACAGATTTAAAGAGCCTATACCTCCAAAAGGGCTTGAATTTTTGCCATCTCTTCCCAAGTTGTTGGGGAATAAACACAAGAATAGATGGTAGCAATTTCCATGGGTTGCACATCTCCCAGTGGAAAACTACCAGTGAAAAGAAAGTGTTGGCATTCAAGGTGATCTTTTTCAAAAGCTTAGCTTGTATTTGGCATAACAATTCAAGCAGCAAAGTGATTTGATTGTTTCATTGCTTGTGGTGGTAGACTGAATTTTCTCACAAATGGATCGTGCCTTCTCAAGATACTGAATCTCAATTTTGGAGATTTCATATATTGGCCAAGGCCAGAATACAGAGATAAAAAGAGCTTCCTAAAGATAAATTCTGTCCTAAAACACCAAACATGCTTATATTTATAAAAACAAGCTTTTAATAGAAAGTATAATTTATACCAATTGACTACAAAACAAAAAACTTAAGTTCTAGTTGTTCACATTAAAAATTAGAAAACATTTTATATTCTAGGTTTAATTTATTTCAAAGTATTACAAAACAAACTCATAAGCTCATAAAAAATTCTTTAATACTCTCTATTGTTGAGTCCAAAACAGAATTCCTTAATAAGCCTTATGGTTGAGTTCATAGTATTACAATACACAAAGCATATTAAAATGAATATTTTACATTCTGGATAATCAAATAAAAATCTAATTCTATTCCATTTAAGTTGGATATAATGTGTATTTTATTACATTCTGGCTCTAAAAAACTAGAATTGATGTATGATTTACATATACACAATTTTCAACTAATCATAAAATGTATTTATCTGTAGCATCCCAGTTTCAGGACAGTCTCAAAAAGGTTTGAGTTCTAAGGAAAATTTAAAAGGGAAAAAAAATTAGAGATGTTCTACCTTGATTGTTTCTGTTTGCCATGTTATATGCAAACAGAGAAATAAAGAGATACTACATTGAATGAAGCAAAAATGAAATTTTAACCAAGCTTCTTGACAAATATTGAAAAATCGAATGATGTTACATAACTATTCAAGGATTATTTATTCAGCTCAAGTAGAGAACGGTTTTAGGTGAGTATAATTCCTTCTGTACATGTTCAGAAATGCACTTCAAACAATAACTACTATATTAATTTCAAATCAAGCTTTCATTCAAATGCAGAAAACATATCCGTTGTTTAGTCCAACTTATAATAGCTATCAACTCTTTTTCCACCAAAGGTTCCCCTCTACTCCCACCTCATTCTTTGTAAGATGAGTAAGGAGACTTTTAAAAAATGTTCGGATAAAATTCATTTTGTCTACCATGCAACACAAGGAAAATATCAGTTAATTAAACAGGAAAAAATATTTGTAAAGTTAAAAGACCCTGTAAGTTAATGAAATACTCTGAACTTCAGAAAATTTTTGACAAAATGTATTATATTCTAAACATTCTTTTTGGAAAGATAACTAAAATAATATCAATCCTCCATTCACACCCAACAAAATAAAATAAATTTAACTGGGAATTACATTTTAAATTGTTCATTTTTAATGTTTTGCTCTCAATGTATAGTAATATTTAAATGATTTATGAAGAAAATGACAAATCAACTTAGCATACATTTTTAAAAGTGTTTAATTAGGAATTTTTATCTTTGAAGTGTATCCTACTTTTGTGAACAATATGATTTTGTACAATACAGAATTAATAAGTATTTGGAAAAAGATAATTTTTCTAAAATAAACAATATAGACAGGACTCAGAAAAATACAGTCTGTTTTGATTTTGCATTTTTACTTGTATATCTACTTGCTGTATCTTTCTAAAATCATGTTAAGACAAAATTGGTCTGATATATTTTCTTGCAATTTTGGGGTTCTTCTGGTATTTCAGCCTCATATTAGCTAAGCACAACTTCCAGGAAGATCAAACGATGGAGGACCTAAAAACTAAGTCTACCTGAGGAAACTTTTCCTATTACTTCGTATGAACTTTTTGGTTTATTTTCAATGAAAAGATAGATGAGATTGTTTGGGGAGATGGGGGGCATGTGTAGCTGGTTCGGGCTTTTTGTGTTTGGTTTTGTTTTTGTTAGTTTATTCTTAGAGCACTCTTTTACTAAAGTCACCAATATAATTCACATTCTTTTAATAATGAAAAACTCCTTGTGCTAGTTTTATCTCATGAGAAAAAACACGGCTCCTAAATCAAAAGCAAAATGCTGTATGTTCAGAGCTATATGAAGACAGCCAAGTTATAAAAGCCCATTTTCAGATCTGGAACAACTTCTGAAAACAAAGAGGGTATTTGGGATACCTTACGCTACAGAAAAAAAATTCCTGCTTTCATTATTTCCTGATTCTGGAGATCCAATAAAAACCTTATGGAATAAAATGTCTTGCAAAAATCCTTCAGTGAAAACATAACCAACCACTCCCACCCCCAACCCCCTTTTAAAGTAATGAGAGTTGATAAACTATAATTACAGTATGAAAATGTTTACATTTTCTTATGAGTTTTAAAAGAAAGATTAAACGATTCATTGGCTTTTCAAACAGCAATTATTTTAGCACCTAAAAGATATACAACTAAAATATATGCATATTTATTTTCAAAGAAATATCAACAAAAATTAAAACATTGGTGATCAGGTAAATACTGATGACGCCAATATAAAAGTATTTGCCACTGCAAAGGGCCTAAGCACAATCACATCTTGTCCCGATCATACCTGCCTGCCAGAACAAAATAGGCAGCTGACCAATTATGGGGTGTTTATCTATACAGTGGTACCTTTGTTCTCCAACAATGTCAGATTGCAAACGTCCTGGAACACATATTTACCTGGAGGATTCTTGGCAGGATCATTGTGGCTTGGACTTCCTGATTGTCCAGAATCTGTAAAGAAATCACAGAAAATGTTTTCTTTTTAATTTGTTTTGAAAGAATTTCACAATCCTCAAGGGACTTGAAAAAAAATGTTTAAGGTATAAAAATGAAGGTGAGTGCTTTAAATAAAATATACTTTCCCAAGCCTTTTGATAGAAACATTTTACTCATCCAACTAGATAAATGCATATACATATTTCTATGTCAAAAGGAAAAGACAAGTATTGGTCTACAGTTTTCTTGGGCTACAGCAAAGGTTTTTTGAAACAAAAGATCTGGCTACAAAGCCACTGAAGATGGTTTGAAGGTTAGGCAAATACTGAGGCCTGCCAGTAGCAATATGAAATAAAGCAGATATATTCTCTTAAAAATGCAATCTGAGTGTAATTAAACATGCATTTAAAAGCCTGAAAGTATGTTTTTATTCAATGAGTAAAATACACAGAAATGAGAGTCCGCTTTTCCAGGATTTCACACACAAGTACACATACCCACTCCAATAATCCCCCAACCTACTGGATCCAGGCCCAGATTTGTCTACATCCCATAATAGCAATCGATTTGCAAACACCAAGAAAAGCATAAATTACTAGGTAGAAACCAACATGGCTTTGTGGAGAGCAAATGGTTGGATCAATTTAATTTCCAACCATGACAGATGGACAGACTTTGCAGATAAGGAGGAAGAGATCAATGTCGTATATCTGAATTTCCTACCCCATATTATTTCTCATCGATGCTACAGAAAGAAACGTGGAAGATATACAACTGTTAGGCAACATGCCTTTCTGGACTGATCTGACACTGTCGTGTTTTGCTCATTCCTCTTCCCTCCTTGTCCCCTCTGCATTTATCTGTGTCATTTGCCCATATTATTATACACTTACTTGCAAGTTGCTTTGTAATCTTCTTTTATTGGTTCTAGCATTTAAGTTTTGTCTCCCCAACTAAATTGCATATTCCTAAGCAGAGGCAGAGAGTCTGTCTACTTCTTTTGTGTCTTCCTCAGTGTGCTGTTCATGGCTGTGAATGCACTAGGCTTGCAGTAAACGCCAGAGGAATGGATGGCTCAGCTCCAGCAGCCTCTTTGCTTGCCTAGAAAAGGCAATTTTGAACTTGATAATGAATTTCAACAAAATTTGATAGGTGGGGCACAAATGACAGTTCTGTCATATACTGCCATATACTGACAAGTCTCTTCCCCCAAACCTTGCCATTATACTTGAGCCAAGAAAGTGATTTGGTTAAGCAGGAAAATCATATGCTGGTTTTTTTCATCAGAGTTATTCTGTCCTTCCAGGTAAGTGATTAACATACTGAAACTGCTGCTTCTATGATTAAATGTAAGAACATCCTGTTAGTTTCTTCTCATATAAAACCTGGTTATTTATTTCTGCCCTTTGCCTCGTGCCTGTTAGCTTAGATATAATGCTGAGATCAGAATTTTACCCCTTCATCCCATTTCCTTAATTGTCTTTTTGGTTTTATTCTAGAACAGATCTCATGAAATCTTAGCAAGCATATTTAGTGATTCCCACATTTTCCTCCAATTGTTTCCTGATTTCTCAAAATGAAAGTAAAGAAACTAGAAATGACCACTCTTCATCTGGCTCGAGTCTCCTGAAGACTGTCAGAGAGCTGAGAATACTCTAAAAATCCCATCTCCCATGAAGTCCTCTTATTACTTTTTCTGAAATCAAGGCAAGATTCAGTGACTTATAAATTAGAAGATCAATCTTCTTCGTTCTACATTCCTATAAAAAAGTGGTACAATATGGGCCACTTTCCAGGCCTGGAGTATGATAGCTACATAAAAATGATAAATCGTAACTTTTTGCTACAGCATCAGCTATTTTTCCCTTGAGTCCCTCTGACAAATGTCTCTCAGCATTAATACTACATTCCAGTTTAATTTCTCAAGTGATTCTAACACGTTTTAGGAATTTCTACTTATGTATAATCCACCCACTGACCAGAGCCTCCCTATGTTTTATTTTCCCTCCAAAGCTGTCTCACTCTTACGAAGGTCTAGACATGCATCCCTCAGCGTCGCTAATGCCACGCTTGTGATGAAACCTGAGATAGTTAAAGTTCTCACTTCGTTGCAGCAGTCGCCTCATTTCAGGAGTTGTAGACTCTCTGCATGAGCCTTAGCGTGTTTAGTTACAGCAACTTCAAAATGGTGCCACAAAACTCTTTTCCATCATCTGTTGCTAAAATTTGGGTCCAGCAGAGAAAAGAATGAAAGTCTCTTCCATTCTTAAGAAAACATCCAGCTAGAACAATGGCAGCCCCTGTTACCACAACATCCCACTTGACAAACTCTATTCTTTTCTGCTGTAAATTATTTTTTCTTCTCATTTCCAACAATTGCAGACCAACTTCTTTGACTGAAAAAATATACTTACTAAAAAACCCACAAGCATTTGAGGGAAAGCTGAAGTAGACCCTAAATTTGAGGCACACATTTGCTTTTTGTAGCAATTTCACTTTCTAAAATGATCTGCTGTTTACTGGCACACAATGACAGACTTTCCTTCATACGCCAAAGCTCATGCCCTCTCATGAAATAAAACAGGGTATACTGTGTCCCAGAAACATAGGAGAGAGCCCTCTCAGTGAGCAAATGACAGAGCATTTACTTTTCAGACTGCAAATTCTAACACTATAATCTACTCTTAACTCTTATGTCACCTTATATTGGTCACTTAATTCCAACTGCTGGAAAAGGAAGTAACCAGGGAGTCGCGGTTGGCAGAGAAACCAAAAATGAACTGTTATTGTGGTTGACTTCAGAGAAAGAATTATTCAGACCACATCTAAACCCTTTCCAATTCACCACCTAGGTCAAATTACTCTATACCCAAAGGTTTTATTTAACCACTTCCATCACTTTGCTCAACACCCCCCACCTCTCTCTCTCTCTCTCTCTCTCTCTGTGTGTGTGTGTGTGTGTGTGTGTGTGTGTGTGTACTTAATATGTTATAGTGAAGCCTGGCTCTGTCCCTCACTAGCAGCATGATCTTGTACAAAATTACTTACTCTTAAGTGTCTTGGAGTCTGGATCTTGAAAACTGCAATAATATTATCTACCTTCTAAAATCATTGCAAGATTATATCATATTAAGCACCAAAAGCATTGAGTCAGACACAGTCTATATTATCAGTAAATAAAAGACATCATTAATATTAAGCATAGAGCCACATTAAAAATGATTAATATATTTAATGGTTTAAACATTATTAAAATGAAAAAAAAGTAATCATTTTAATGTGGCTCTATGCTTAATGATAACTAACTTTTAGGAAGAAAGGGAGAAAAGGGACATAACTAAGTTCTGTCCATCCCAACACAAGCATCTAAAAAATGACTGGTGGGTTGACTAAGCATGGAGAAGCGTGCGTCCACCTGAGAAGTCCTGTGTAAAAGCTTTCATCCCTCACTCCCCAAAAGGGAGGAGCCCACTGCTGCTTCAAGGCTTTTAGGAGCTGTCATGCTCAAAAGGCAGTAGATAGCAGCCAGTTGATGAAAATTACCTTCCAGAAGGCTAAAGTCTTTGAGGAACAAGGCTGCTAAGAGTTGTGAGCTGCCCAGCATACTGGGTATAGTGTCTGGAAAAAAATTTTTTTTTTTTTTTTTTTTGAGACAGAGTCTTGCTCTGTCACCCAGGCTGGAGTCCAGTAGCACTATCTCAGCTCACTGAAGCCTCCACCTCCTGGGTTCAAGCGATTCTTGTGCTTCAGCTTCCCGAGCAGCTAGGACTACAGGCGCACACCACCATACCCAGGTAATATTTGTACTTTTTGGTAGAGACGGGGTTTCACCATGTTGGCCAGGCTGGACTCGAACTCCTGGCCTGAAGTGATCCACCCACCTTGGCCTCCCAAAGTGCTGAGATTACATGTGTGAGCCACCACGCCCAGTTTAGTGTCTGGAAAGATTCTGATGCAGTTGAGAAAAAGAGAGGAGTTTTTGAAGGCAGCCAACCAAAACCAGTCCTCCCTCATTCCCTTCCACCTCTCATTTTCTCTTCCTTGATCTCAATCTCTATTTTCTACATTTCTGTGTTGTCTCTTTCTGACTTGACTGGGCATAATGTTGAACTGAAATAAATTTTGTATTACATATTCATGAAAGTTTCATGTTCCCCATTCTTTAAATGTGGATTAAACATATGTTTATTCTTCTAAAAAAAAAAAAGGTAATGAAGTTACTTCTAAATTATTATCTTTTAAACGTAATCAGTTCCTTCCTCTCCAGGTTAAAGATTCTCCAAGCACAAGAAAAGGTTCACATTCATGCAGGACCCTTACCAACTTTTCAATCCTTTTGTACACTCCTTTTGTAAAAAGCAGTCAATCTCTGGTGGCTCTTCCAATATCTAAGCTTTACCGGAGGAGTGAGCAGTTTTTTCTAATGACCCAATTTTACGGAAGATCCTAGGATACGTAAGTGATCAAACAGCTTGTCCAAAGTTACAAAGCAACTATTAAAACTTCTGTTCTCTATATGTGCAGCCTATTCAGACACAATACTTCTTGAATTGTTATGATGCAATCCTAAAATAATGCACAGCCAAATGACTTTTCAGTAGTTTAACTGTTTCTGGGAAACTTATCTTCCCCTAACTTCCCTCACCCTTCCAACTATTCACCAATACATTCAAGAATCTTTTTCTTAAGCCTTTAGCTACTTTCTATATCTAAGTTGGAAGTAATCATTAGTATCACTGAACTCTATACACTAATTGATGTCTTAAAGCGAGGCCAATTCTATAAATCAAATTTAGTTTGGATTGTCTCCATCAAGCAAAGGAAATTCTAATGTTTTCTGGACAATCTGGTGGAAGCGCTATAAGATGTGTGTTAAATATATATGACAATAAATAAATAATAGCCTGTAAAGTATTTCTTACTGAGCACTAACTTTCTGGAGTAGATACACTGCAACTATCTGAGGTAGATACATCATCAAAACTGTCGAAGATTTTTTTGTAGGTCATTAATGT